GGGGTACGGTATTTTACGTCTTTCAGTTATTTCCTTTGGGAACTGATCGTTCATCCCGAACACGGTTCCTTTCAGCTCCCTCCCTTTGCTTTTCACCAGTTCTTTTTGTTGGAAGTGTTCAAATTTTGCAATGATGGGACGGGGGTGTGATCTGGTGCGGGCTCCAAGGCGATGTATACGGTGAAATGTGATTTTGTTGACGGTGCCTGACGGGAGTTTGAGAGCGGACTGCATGAAGTTGCGTGTGTGTGTCGGGGTTATCTGTCGTGCTTTTGGGGATTCCTGAGAAAATGAGGTTGTCTCGCATGCTTCATGTTTGAATGCTCAGGACGGTTTCTTTCAGGGTTTTATTTTCTTTCTGGATTGTGGATATCTGGGAGGTGAGTAGCTCAACAGTGGTGTGTAATTGTGTATTGTCTGTTTGGAGATCGGTTATTTGGCTGTGTGTGAATTCAAGGCTGGATCTGAGGTCTTTTATTTCCTGACGAAGCATGTTGAGAACGTCCAGTTTTTTGTTTATGGATTCGAGTACACTGACCTGTATATCCATGGTTTGAAGATCATCGGTGTCGGTGGCTGAATCTTTATTTTTCCGTTTGTTTGGGTTGGGAGTGTGGTGAACCGGGCTGTTGTTTTCCATTGCAAGGCGGTAGGTCCTCAAGGTCCTCCACTCTGATCGGCATGCGGTATCTTCCTGTATGTTCTGGGTATGTTATTCCTTGATGATCGTGAACTTTTTGAAATGTTTTATGTTATTTTTGGTTGAAAAGGCAGGAGAGAAGTTGTAGTCTGATCTAGCAGCCGGGCGCCGCCATGATTCATCCAAATCTCGTCTCTGCGGTCTCGCGATCTCAGCGCATCTCACAGCCTCTCAGCGCCCCACAGCCTCTCAGCGCCCCCTTGAAACAAATGTTCATTGATGTCTTGTGGTGTTAACACAAGTGTGTGGAGTCTTGCTGCTATTTTAATTTCCTGTGTTAGCCATTTTAAAGATTTCTTGTGTTGATTTATTTTCTATTTAAGGGGCCAAAGCAGCCAAAGCAAACCAGCTATGTTTTTTATTTAATGTTAATGTTCAAGTTTAAAGTGACTGACAACAAATATACACATATATA